GTGCTTGTCTGGCTTTGGGATCAGGGTGATGTTGGCCTTGTAGAATGTGTTAGGAAGTGTTCTGTTTTCTTGAATTTTCTGGAATAGTTTGAGAAGTATAGGTGTTAAATCTTCTTTGAATGTTTGGTAGAATTCTCCAGGGAAGCCATCTGGTCCTGGACGTTTATTTTGGGGGAGGTTTTTGATTACTGTTTCAATCTCTTTACTTGTGATTGGTCTATTCAGATTCTCTATTTCTTCTTGATTCAGTTTTGGGAGGTTGTATCAGTCTAAGAATTTATGCATTTCTTCTAGATTGTCCAATTTGTTGGCAGATAGTTTTTCATAGTATTCTCTTATAGTCCTTTGTATTTCTGTGGTATCCATTGTAATTTATCCTCTTTCATTTCTAATTTTGTTTATTTGAGTCTTCTCTGTTTTGTTCTTAGTGAGTCTGGCTAAGGGTTTGTCAATTTTGTTTATCTTCTCAAAGAACCAGCTCTTAGTTTCATTGATCCTTTGTACTGTTTTTTTTGTTGTTGTTGCTGTTTAAATTTCATTTATTTCTGCTCTAATTTTTATTATTTCCCTCCTTCTGCTAACTTTGGGCTTTGTTCTTCTTTTTCTAGTTCTGTTAAGTGTAGTTAAAGATTGCTTATTTTGATTTTTCTTGCTTGTTAAGGTGGACCTGTATTGTTATGAATTTCCCTCTTAGGACTGCTTTTGCTGCATCACATAAGAGTTGGTATGGTGTATTTTCATTTTCATTTGTCTCCAAATATTTTTTGATTTCTCCCTTAATTTCTTCAATGATCCATTTGTTGTTCAGTAGTGTGTTGTTTAGTCTCTGCATATTTGTGACTTTCTCAGCTTTTTTCTTGTAGTTGATTTCCAGTTTCATAGCATTATGGTCAGAAAAGATGTTCGATGTGATTTCTATCTTCTTAAGTTTATTGAGGCTTGCCTTGTTTCCCAACATATGGTCTATTTTAGAGAGTATTCCACGTGCACTTGAGAAGAATGTGTATTCTGCTGTTTTGGGATGGAATGTTCTATATATATCTATTAAGTCCATCTGGTTTAGTTTTTGTTTAATTCCACTATTTCCTTGTTGACTTCCTGCCTGGTTGGTCTATCCATTGTTGTAAGTGGGGTGTTAAGGTTCCCTACTATTATTGCGTTGCTGTTAATATCTCCTTTTAGGTCTGTTAAAAGTTGCTCTTTGTACTTTGGTGCTCCTGTGTTAGATGCATGTATATTAATAAGTGTTATGTCCACTTGGTGGAATGTCCCTTTTATCATTATATACTGCCCCTCTTTGTCTCTCTTTGCCTTTTTCATTTTGATGTCTACTGCGTCTGATATAAGTATGGCAACACCTGCTTTCTTTTGTTTGTCATTAGCTTGGAGTATCATCTTCCATCCCTTCACTCTGAGCCTGTGATTTTCTTTAGAGCTGAGATGTGTTTCCTGGAGGCAGCTTATTGTTGTGTCTTGTTTTCGATCCATCCCACCACTCTGTGTCTTTTGATTGGAGAATTCAATCCATTTATGTTTAGAGTGATTACTGATATATGAGGGCCTAATACTGCCATTTTATCACTTGTTTTTCAGTTGCTCTATATTTCCCCTGTTGCTCATCCCATGTATTTTGGACTGCCAGTTCAGTCTGGTGGTTCTCTATGATGGCTTTCTCAGTTTTCTCTTTATTTATCATTTGTGTCTCTGTTCTGATTTTCTGTTTAGATGTTACCATGAGGCTTATATAAAAGATCTCATAGATGAGACAGTCCATTTTCTGATAGCCTCTTATTTCCTTAGTCTAAGCAGGTTCCACCCCTTCCCTCATCCCCATCTAAGTTGTTGTCACAACTTATTCTGTTTTGTGTTGTGAGTTAAAATGAAGGGGTTATAGTTATCTTTGATGTTTTCCTTCCCTTTGTCTTTAATGTTATACTTAAGTGTTAGCTAACCTGTTCTGATGGAGAGCTGCAGTTTCCTGACTTTGTCTGCCTATTTATCTCCTTTCTCAAGATTTTGTAAAACCTTTCTTTTCTTTTTTTTTCAGGCATGAGAGCCTTCTTGATCATTTCTTGTAGGGGAAGTCTTGTGGTAATGAACTCCCTCAGCTTTGTTTATCTGGGAAAGTTTTTATTTCTCCATCATCTCTGAAGGATAATTTCTTCTTTTCTTTTTAGTCTTAGTTCTCTCTCCTCCCCCATCTGAAGCAGGTCTACATTTCTGTCCTCTAAATTGCTAATTCTGTCCTCCATAATATCAGCTCTGTTATTTAAAGATTCCAGCTTTTTCTTTATCTCATTCATTGTGTTTTTCATCTGCAACATTTCTGATTGATTTTTTTAATGTTTTCAATCACTTTTGTGAAGAACTCCCTCTGTTCATTAATTCTATTCCTGATTTCATTGGATTGTCTTTCTGAGTTTTCTTATAACTTGTTGAGTTTTTTTTTATGATAGCTATTTTGAATTCTCTGTCATTTAGATTGTAAATTTCTATGCTTTCAGGATTGATTTCTGGGTGCTTGTCATTTTCCTTCTGGTATTGAGTGTTAATGTACCTGTTGGTAGTATTTGATGGTGTGGATTTGTGCCTTCTCATAGTGGGGATATCTGGTCACAGATTCCACCTGCCTCTGCTCTTTCCACTGCCTCCTGGGGGGGTCCAGCACCTCCACCTTCTGATGTGTGGCTGTGTGGGTCTCTCAGATGTCTATTGTGTTGTGTGAATGTTGTTTGTTGGTTTATGAGTGTCCTTTTCATTGTATCTTAGTGGGGAGAATCTAAGGGAAGAGCTCACTCTGCCATGATGCTGACATCACTGTCTCAAGTTACAATTTTAATGTCCTGCTTTCTTCTTCCTCATTGGACCTGTGACCTCCATGCTTCCCCACCCATCACCCTCTCTACTTTTAAAAGGAATGCTACATCACTTTGAACACTATGGCTTGGGCCACAAGGGCCTTGAGTTCTTTTTTTCTTTCTGTGAGCATATCAGAAGATGTATCTCCATTCACTCAAATCCCCCTGCTTCCACGGGGCCTCACCTGACACATTCTTAGTTTCTTTGGTCAGCTGAAACGAATTTCCTTAACCTGGGGTCTGTGAACCAGTAGGTCGAGGGAGGGGGCCATGCATGAGGTCAGGATGATACCAGCAATCCTCAGATATTACATTAAATTAGAATCAGTGTTTGTACATTTGGGGAGGTGGAAGTTCCGTAGTCTCTATGAAAGATTCTCACAAAAGGCCAAGGACTCCTGCTTTAGGGCCCAAATGCATCCTCTCCACTGTGTATAATCTTCAGGGATCCAAGTTCAACAAGGCCTTAGCTCGTTGGTCCAAACTCCTGGCTTCACTGATGGGGACACTGAGGCTCCAAGCAGGAAAGAGAGCAGGCCAAGGCCACACAGCGAGGGCACTAGGATTCAGTCAGCTTTTCTCTTAATATCATGTTCTTTCCACAGCCCCAGCCCAGCAGAGCCTCAGAAAAGACTCAGGTCTCCAGAAGGATTTGAACTGGGTCTACTCACGTTGACCACTTCCGATAACAAAGTTGTGGGGTTGTTTTAAACTATTTTTAAGTTTTAAATAGTTTACTAAAAAGATAACCTCCCCTTCTCAGCATCCTTAACCTTCACCACATCTGCACAGTCCACGTTACCACGTCAGGAAGTGTCATCATAGGTTGTTGGGATTAAGGATTAGGATGTTCATATCTCTGGGGGTCATTATTCTGCCTGTCACAGGGTCATTCACAAAAGTGCTTTTGTTCTCCTGGAGAGGTCAGCAAACTTTTCTTTTAAAAGGCTAGATAGTAAATATTTTAGGATTTCAGGCCACATTTTCTCTGTTGCAACTACTCTACTCTGCTACTGTGGATAAAAAGCCATCACGGGCAACATGTAGATGAGTGAGTGCGGCTGTGTTCCAATAAACCCTTATTTATAAACCAGACTTGCAGGCTTGGGTTGAAGTTTACAGATCTCTCTTCTATTGGAGTCGCCAAGCCTTGTCTGAGAGAACTCCTGGTCTGGCCTGAGCCCTGGGGCTAAGGGATGGTTAATACATGTTACTGCCCAGTAGGGGCCCTTGCCATCTGATGAGGACAGGTAGATGTTAATAGAAGCCCTGAGGGTGATAGGTCCTTTAGGGTGGGTCCCAAGGCGCAGCAGGTGCACCCCACGGAGGAACCAACCAGGTCTTCCAAGGAAGGAATTGCCCAGATTCCAGCAGAAAATAAAGCTGGGAGGTCCCAGCCTGAGGATCCAGGATTAAAATGAGGTCCTAGGCGTCTGAGGTTTGCTGTTTGGCTGTTTACAGTGGGCACTTGCACACTGGCTAAGAGCGTGACCTTTAATGGCTCATACAGACCTGGGATTCAGAGCTGTGTGACCTTCAACAAGGGTGTCGGGTTCCTCATCCCTAAAATGGAGATGGGCGGGTGGTTAGATGAGATCGTGGGTGAGGCATATTTGTTGGATGAGGGGGTACTCCCTGAAGAATATGCTCTATTGATGTTATTATGGTCATTGTAATTGCTACTATTGCAATTAGTTTTGGAGTTTCCCAGAATGCCCTGGGAAGCTGACCACCTCACCCTCATGTGTAATTTTCTAAGCACTCACAAGGACCATAAAGCACATGCCTTGTGTGTTGACAATAATGATGCTGTTAATAACAACAGTACAAAAACAAGAAGAGCAGTAATGGTTCCTACCATTTAATTAGCACTAACTGTTTGCCAAGAACTATGCTGAGATCTTTACAAGGGTCGTCTCATTGACTCTGCTCTACAACTCTGGAGGCAGAGTCCCTTTATTAGCTGCACTTTGCAAAGGGGCACAGGAGGCTCAGAGAAGGTAAGTGACTTGCCTAAGATCACACAGCAGCACAGGTTGGAAGTGAGACTTGAACTCAAGTTTGTCTAACGTCAAAGACTGTGTTCTTCACCAGCCCCTGACAGCACAAGGGTAACAGACTCTTTCCTGTGCCTCCTTCTAGTGTCCAGACGGCAGTGGACTGTGGCAGCAGTGGCAGAAAAGAGATGTAAGTTAACACTGAGTAGAACTGAGCAGCTTATACTGATGCCCAGGGCAAGCCCCCGCCTCTCTGTGTCCAGTCTGCAGGGGGAACATCCATGCCTCCTTGGGGAATTACCAGCAATGCCCATGAGAGCTCTGACTCCATGGTCATAGCATGTAGCCTGGGGATGTACTATTTAACCATCCAACTTCTTTTTGACAGAGAGAAGCCCATGACTTATCACGTCACTGTCCCCCTCACACACTTTCACTGGCTCCCCATTCCTCAGAATAGACATTTTAGACTGACATTTGAGCCCTGCGCATTCTGACCCTTACTTCCATCTCTACCTGGCACTCCTACTTTCCATATCATCCATGTCCTGCCCTTTGCGGGCTCCGTGCCTTATGTGTGCTGCTCCTTCCACCCCAGATTTCCTTCTCCAGGCCCTGCGTGGCCACGTCCTAACCTTCGAACAAGACGTAGCTCAACTGCCACTGTTCGATGCCTTCCCTTATGACTCCAAGAAGCAAGTCAAGGCTCCCTCCTTATTCTCCCTAGAATGTACCCCTCTGTCCCTCTCTCTGGCACTGATAATTTTCTCCTTTATTTTCTGGTTATTTATATAGATATCTACTCTGCTAAGATGGGGTTTTAAGGACAGGGTCAATGCTGGGTTCATGTTTACAGCTCCTTCCCATGGTGCCTGGGACAGAATATTCTATCAGTCAATCAATCAATCAATCTATCAATATTTATAATGTTGAGTAAGTAAATCAACAGAAAATAACCACTGAGTACCCACATGGGCCTCTCCCTGTGCTGCTTTCAGGGCAGGAAGGCATACAAGTGAAGTCCTTGTCCACGGTGACATTTCCAACCAAGGTGGGCAAGGAATTGAGACCTTCACACTGGAGATATTCCAGGAACATATCATTTGTTATAAAGTTCAATACTGATTTTTCATCCAAAATTGGAGATACCTCAACATCTGTGATAGAGTGTTTGTCTTCCAAGGAACAGTGGTCAGTAGCCTGGGCATTGGGATCAGATAGACCAGGGTTTGCACCCCAACTTCATCACTGACTAGCTGGGTGACCTTGGCCAAGACTCAGGTGGGCCTTCCCACATCTCATTACTTTCATCTGTGTCATGGGGTCCCTCCTCTCAGGGATTGTGTTAGTATTCACTGAGCTTATGCATAAGCAGCACTTAGCACAAGGCCTGGCTCATGCTAAGGGGTATCTAGTTATTGCTGTTACTGTGGTTGTCATTGTGTTGACAGCATCCTGCATTCTCGTTCTAGAGATAACATCTCCGTCGTCAGCTCCCAGCCAGAGGGCAGTCTGCAGTCCTGGTTGAGTTGTTCTCTGTCCCTGGCCACAGACACCATGAGGAGCCCCTCTCGACAGTCAGCCATCAGCAGCCACATCCTCAGCCCCAGGTAAGGGTGTTTTCCTGCTGCCTCTGGATGGCCAATAGCTCAAAGACTCTCACACTTTGAAGATTGTTGTTCAAGTCTTCTGTTTCCATCCTAGGCAATGACAAGCATGGTCCAGTTTGAGGTATGACCCTGCTACTTCCTAGCTGTGTGACTTTAGGCAAGTCAGTTACCCTCTCTGAGCCTTCATTCCTCATCTCCAAAACAGGAAATAAAATTGCATTTACTCACCCAAACAGTTGAAATGATGAGGATCTAATGCAGCCCTCCCTGAAGAGTGGTCTTCCAGATGATTTTAAATAGTACACAGAGAACATTTAAGAAATAGGAGCCAGCCCCGTGGCCGAGTGGTTAAGTTCATGTGCTCCTCTCCGGCGGCCCAGGGTTTCACCGGTTTGGATCCTGGGTGCAGACATAGCACCGCTCATCAGGCCGTGCTGAGGCAGCATCACACATAGCACAACTAGAAGGACCCACAACTAAAAATGCACAACTATGTACCAGGGGGCTTTGGGGAGAAAAAGCAGAAGAAAAAAAAATTTATAAGAAATTGCTATGGATTCACTACAGTTGCCTTTTCTCTGAGTCCTACTTGTTTTCCATTTATAGATAGTTCTGGGTTTAAACTTTCTTTATAAACATATTCACTTAAAGTTTTGTTTTTGTTTTTTAACGGTGAGTTGGTAAAAAGACAGTTAGGATGGATGACCTCTTCCTCAGGGATTTTAGCTTTGTTTGGAGGTCAGGATTTTATATTTCTGCTACCATAAGGAAGATGAAGTCGGCCATGGCCTGAGATGGGACCCTGGCGAATATATAGGATTGCCAACAATAGGTTGCTCCAACAAATGGGCCTCGGGATTCACCCTCAGTTGTAGGACTTAAATCCTTCTCGCCTCTTGCTTTTCAGTTCCATTTCTCTCAGCTCATTTGCTTTTCCTTTTCAAGGGTGGTCCTCTTGTAATTAGGAGCTAATGACCATAAATCAGAAATTATGGATTAAACAGATGCGTAATTAAGATGAAATGCACACCGCTTCTGTGATAATAGAAGAACCAGTGTGATAAGATAGAAAGAAAATTCACAGACTGATGGAGAAAACCCAGACAACCCCTTCCTCACTTGAAATGTGCTTGCTCTGAAGCAGGGGGTGTCTCCACAAAAGAGAAGGGGGTGCAAATTCATGCTAACCTTTCGGGCATATTCAGCAAATGGCAAATGTCTGGCACATGTCTACAGATCATCTTATGCTGAAAGATTTGATGTCAAAAATATCAAAGGGAGCCTCCAAGAGTGGGGTGCATCTGGGGAGTTAATTAAAGCAAGATTATCTGATTAATGCTCTTAATTAAAAAGAAGGGTCTGTATGGAGAAAGAGCCATGTCCTCTGTGAACCCCAAATGGCGAGGACTCTGTCACTCCTGATAACTCAATACTTTTGTTTTTTTCCATCAGCCAATTTATAAGGCAGCAGAAGCAGAAGTGGAGGCGGCCAGAGCCGATTGTGAATGCTCATTAACATAATATCCAAGATCATAATTAGAATTGTATTAAAGTGCATGAGAAGGATGCTTAGCCCTTGAATGACACCCTAAGTTGTTTAGCACCCATTCGAGTGGGAGGCGGGAGGCTGTGGTGGTTTCAGTACATGGTCTGAAGTCAAGGCATCTGGATTTCTAGTCTATATTTGCTCCTCTGCAGCTGTGAGACTTGGGGCAGGTTGCTTAACCTCTCTGTTCCTGTTTCCTTGTGAGTAAATCAGGTTTGATGTCAGGGTCAATGAGATGGTGCACGAGTCGGTATTCACTCAGAGCCTGGCACCTCGAAAGAGCTCAAGAAAAGTAGCTGCTTTCTTAGGGTTGGTGTCTATTTGATGCCCAGAGGAACCCCAGGAGGCAGACATCATTACCCCCCGGTAACAAGAGGAATCTGAGGCTGAGGGGCGGGAACAACTGACTCAGGCACAGACCGTCTTACGCCCGCTCCTGTAGCGGCACCTGGCAGAGTGGGTCCTCGGCATCCCCGGGCAGCCCTCTCTAGAACCTTGTCGGTCTTCCCCCACCCCCACTCCAAGTCCTCAGGCTTGTCCAGTTGCAGTTAGAGAAGAGGTGCCCACACCATGGACAGCCTGGGGCAGGAGGCAAGAAGGGACCATGAGCTCCTTGTCGGTTTTCTTCATATTGGTGTCCCTAGAGCTGGCACACAGTAGGTGCTCAATAAATTTCTGTGAGTGAATAATGATCATAATGTCAGAGCGGGAACAGAAATATTAACTGTACCTGGTCACAGCTCAGCACTGACTGTGACACAGAGAAGGTCGATAATTTGTTCAGTGTCACACAGCAGGTAAGTGGAAGAGCCAGACTTTGAACCCAGATTTGAATCCCTCCAAAATCTGTATTTGCATTTGCCACACTGCATGGTTTTGCAACATTTCTCAGGGAGTAGATCACTCACCTGGCAAGGTTTACTGGCAAAGAGCTGGCCTGTTATTAATGTTAAAAGTGCATGAGGATCGTTATTCAACATTCAACATCCATCCAAAAGGTATTTATTAAATGCCTGCTGACTGCCAGACCCCATGGCATTAAGCCCTGAAAAATTCTGAGCCCTGTCCTTGGAGTAGGTTTACAGTTTAAAGGTTCTAGAACTTCTGAGTTGGAGGGGACCTCTGGGATTTTCTAATCCAAGTTGCTCATTATATCAAATGAGAAATGAAAATCTGAAATCTGCAGAGGGAAATATCTTACCCAAATTTATAGTAAGGACTGACCTAGAAGATGCCTTGACTTCCATGTCTTTCTACTTGCTCAAGTAATCTCTGAATGCTTTCCCCTTTCAAGAACTTAAACTGTAACAGAGAAGACTAAAGTCCTCTTGGTCACCACCCCAATCTCAGCTCCTTTCCCAAAGGTATCCACCATCTTCAGTTTGGTGTGCATCCTTCCGCATCTTTCTCTGTGTATTTATAAACGTATATGTAGTTGTAGCAAGTACATAGCATATTCGTGGGCTTTTTAAAAACATAAATGATTTGATGCTATATTATATATTACGCTACACAAAAGTTCTTACAATGTGCTTCTTTCCCTCAATAACTTGCCTTGGCCGTCTTTCCTTATCAGTATACATAAGTCTATCATGTCCTCTTAAAGTCATGCAAAAGATCTTAAAGTTATGCCATGATTTATTTAACTATAGTCTTCTCGTTTCACTTTTAATTCCTTTCCAGACTTTTCCTACTAACCTGTAAAGCTTCAAAAAACACATGTCCTTAAGCACATGGGCAAATGATTCTCTGGGTCAAAGGGCACTTGCATTTTAGACTTGACTAGATCCTGCTAGATTGCCCCAGCATTCTTCTATTAGATGACTAAATTAGTGGAGTGTGACACTCTCGTCTGCCATCCTCATATTCCATGGCACATCACAGGGCCTCATATGTGAGTCTCATGGACATTTCCAATTTGACTGAAAAAGAAGGTCACTCTAAAACCAGAAGAGAGGGAGAAAGCAGTCTTCTGCCAAAAAAAATGAAAGCATTCCTTGTATTATTTATAAGGGGACGTCAACTCAAGAGAAATACACCTAAAGCTTTATGATTTATGGTCCAGGAAGCAGGCAGCTGCTCCTGATAAATGCAAGAGCTTCTGGAGACGAGGACACTAAATTTCCTTCGTGGCCCCAGAGAGCAAGTTTATGGGCTTCGTGGTGGCAGCCACACTTGGCTCCAGAGTCTCTTTTAACGTCTGGCTGCGGCTGGTGCCAGGGCCGTCCTGGGTCTGGCATGCTCCCCTTGGTCCCTGCTGTGTGCGTGGTCTCTGCTTCCCGCCCTCGAGGGCTGTTGGCCTGCTGGAAGAGTGTTAAAGGGAGGGAGGCTCTCCCCACTTCCTGCTTGTCCTCACAGCCCCTCAGGCTTTCCAAGGAGGGTCCACGACCCATTTCACTCTAGTCCTGCATTCCCATGCCCAACAGAACCCCAGCCTTGGTCACTCACACAGTTCTGCAGGGTCTGTGTGCTGACAGGCATTAACTGACCCAACTATGCAGACTCCTAACATCTTGTCTTGTCACTGGTCAGTCACTTCTCTCATTTTACTGGACAATTATTCTAAACCATCTTGACTTTCCTCCAGTCACTGTCCCTAACTTTAAAGAGACGTCCTAAACTCCTGGTTCATTCAAAGAAAAAATATCTTGGCCTCAACTTCTGTGGTTCCTTTAAACCCATCTCTATCTGCCGCCATCTTCCCTCTGGTCTCAGAAGGTGAGATCTGGTCCTGTCTGAGTCCAATTCATACTCCTCCACCTCTCCTTCCTCTCCCATACAGGGCTCCCATCCACCTGGTGTCCCCTCTCGCTCCTTTATCCTCAACTTTCCGCATTTCAGTTGTCCTCCCTCCACAGGCTATAACCACCTTCAGGGCATCCCCATCCTAACCGTATCCTCACCCATCATTCTGTACTCCTGTTGAATTACTCCTCTTCCTTCTCTTCAGAACCAAGCTTCTCCAGTGTGGGGTCCACACTCACTATCTTCACTTACTTAACATTTTATTCCTCAATTTCCTACAGCCCAGAGCCTACCCCCACCACTCCATGGAAACTTTTCTCCCCATGTCAGTGGCTTCCAATGGGACAAGTCAGGGGACATTCTCCAGTCTTGATCTTTTTCTGGACTTCTCCCCTGCATTGGCAACTATCGAACCTTCCTTGGAATTCTCTGTTTGCGTGGCTTTGTGGATGTTTCTGTTCCTTGGCGCTGCCCAGACTTCTCTTTCCTGGTCTCTTCCTCCCTCCTCCAGCCCCTGAATGCTGGGATTCTCAGGAGGCTGCCCTCACCTGACTGTTTTTCTCTTCACCTGATCCCAGGCAATCCTTCTGTGATTTTTAACTCCTCTGCTGTAAGCTGATGACCCCCAAATCTAGACCTCCAGCTCTCCTGTTCTCCCAGGCTTTAAACTTATGTATCATATCTAATTGCCTACGCTGAGAAGATTGCC